GGATCTATGAAACTCCGATGCAAAGCCCACAAATATAAAAGCAAACAAAGCAAGCAATTGAAAACAAATGTGATCTAAATCCTAAGGTTACCCCACTTTTAAGTCATTCCCCAGCAGAGTCGCCAGTTCTGTGATACGGTGGGAGAACTGACTTGAGGTTTTGCGTTTGTATTCGCAAATGTTTCGGTTGAGCAAGAGCCGCCACCGACTTTTTATTTTATCCTAAGGAAAGGTTAAAAAGCACAGCAAAAACTTTGAGATGTTTTCTTGGGTTCGGGGGGTAGATTATAGAAAGGGAAGGTATAAGCACCCTTTCTATCCATGGTTATCCATGGGCTCTTAGTTACTTGCTTAGATCACTTGCCTTGTGTTTTCAATTGTTTGAAATGGTGCTTTGTGCATGGGTTTGAAAATGTTTTGAAAAGAGGCCATTTGTTGTGGCAGCCTTTGTAATGACCCATGTTTGGATGTATACAAAGGTGTACTTATCTTTTGAAAAGTTTTCAATGTTTTTGAAAGTTGTTTTGAAAGTGTATTTTGAAAGTGTTACGGAGTGTGGTTTTGAAAAGTAGGCAAGCGTGTTTTGCAAGTTTATCAAGTAACTAAGAGTTGTCTACCCCTAAATTTACTCAAAGGTCTTTCCTATGTTTTAACCCTTTTAACAATTTTGTTCCACCATTGTATTTGGTGGACAATCTTGTGTTAGGATGTTTAACGGGACAGGCGCGGGTCATCGTTTGGACCATGAATGCAATGGTGCCAAGTGTCTTTGGCAATTTTGCTTGAAGGGACTATGATCATTTTGATAGGCAACTTTCGAAAGCGTCATCGAGGGACTATGATCATTTGATATTGTTTTGTTTTGCCAAAGACACCTAACATGCAACATGGCCCATTATTTAAGGCATCAAGTGGAGTAACCCTAAGGGTGCAAGTGTGATTGGTGTTGTCCATTTTCATGCTTTTTTGTCTTTTGTTTAGGTCAAGCTATTTGTTATTTTTGATTTTTGCATACAAAATCCTAAGTCTATCATGGCATATTTGGAAAGCTTTAAAGTGCGGAAATTAAAGTCCTAAATTATTACACAATAATCATGGGAATGGGGGTACAAATGTTCAAATGGGGATGAGACTTAATAGGAGAGTGGTGTCCCAATATTTACAACCAAATCGAATTAATCGCAAATGTAAATGTAAAGTAATGTACAAGAATAAGTAAATGTGTATGTGTAAATGAATTTGTGTAAGTGTATATGATTTATTTACAAGTGAAATAATAAATAAAAAAAGTTAATTTTTGGATATTGTCATATTTAGGGCAAAACCCTAATTTTGCTAAATAAAAAGTATTATTATTTATTATACACAATATGTATTAATTATATACAAAAAATAAATAAAAAGGAAGTATATTGTAAAAAAAAGTATTTTTGAGGTCAAATATTAATAAAAATAAAAAATGTATTATTTTTGTATTTTTATCCTAAATATTCTAATAAATATATAAGTATTTATATTATATATTAAATATATTAAATATGTACAAAAATAAAATATTTAATATTTACAAAAAAAAGTATATTTTTTAGAAAATATTTTCAAAAGATAAAATAAAATAAAATCAGAAAATAAAAATGTATTTTGTATTATCTTTGTATTTTGAATAAAAAAGATATTTTGTTTATTTATGTAAAAGTTCAAAATAAAACAAATAAAATCCAAATAAAATGCAAAAAATGTGACAAAAATATTTTTAGTGTTTTTTCATGTTTGGATAAAAATATAAAATCAAAATCAAAAGGAAAAAAAATCAAAAATGACAAATATATCATGCAATGGGCCAGTGGGTGTATGTGGAAAAATGTGGTGTAAACAGAAAAAACAAGACAGGCCCAGCCCAAAGGACTTTGTCTTCAACCTCTGGCCAGATTCAAACAAAAACGCGCGCCTTCTTGTTCATCTCCCTAACTCTTGATTCTTTGATCCTTTTACAAATCTTAAAACATGAGACCTGTAGAGCTTGAAGCCACGATTTTAAACATATAAAAAAGTTAATCTAACTCTCAGAAATGAGAGAGAATTTCTTCTCCCCCAATTCCTGACCTAGCTTTTTTTCAATGTTCAGGTTCAAAATACTCTTAGCACACACAACATAAATGAAAAGTAACTATATGGGTGGCTTCAGGGCTATGATTAGAACATGCTTTCTTCACAAACTTAAGCCTAACTATGCCTGGATAGAGAGATAGAAGTTCAAAAACTTACCTGTTCAGCTTGAATCGTGTATGACAATGGAGGTACTTTCAATGCAATGTGAGGACTTGTATAGCTTGCTTGAGGTCCAGGGATGCTTCTCCAACCTCTAGTTTGCTTTGAAACTGACTGAAACAAGCTATGGAAGTTCACCTGCAAAGTTGAAAACTGAAAATGGAAAATGATGTTAGGGATGTTACAGTTTGTGTTCAATGCTTGAGATAGCTTCAATGGGTGATATGGAACATGTTTGAACTCCTTTTGGCCAAAGTGCACGAGTGGAAAGGTTTATAGAAGTCAAGTTGCAGAAGGGACTCTGTTTTTTGCAAGAGGATGAGGTTTTTGTGTTTGAGGAGGTATTGAAGGTGGTTGGCTCGTGTTTCAGGTCAGGTTTGATGTTTGGAATGTGTTCAAGAAGTTTGTTTAGGCTAGTTGTTGCAGCAATGAGAGATCTTGTTCAATATGCAAGTTTCTTCTAATGTAAGCAAAAGTTGTCAACTTAGATTATAGGCCAAGGCAGGTCCCTCAAGCATGCTGCATAATATCTCCTTGATCAGTGGGATTAGTCCATAATCTTATGCCCAAAAGATATGCTTTGTACTTCTTAGATTTGTGTTTGACATAAAGCACCTCTTTACAAGAATGGATAACTTGCTTTTTCCATTTATGGCTTAATTCTTCATGTAATGACCAAATGAGAAAAATAATGCTAGAACACAATGGATTGGCATTTAATTATTGAGTGTGGATGAGATAAAAGGCCTGTAATCTAGTTGTGCAAGCTGAGTTCGAAAATGCCTAAGTTATGAACATGCATTTGGCCATGAATCAAAGTGACTTTTGCCCATATTGACAAATTCGATTCTCCCTAACCACAAGGGTGTTTGAGAAGTTCTTGGACAATTTGGAAAGCTTGGAATGAGTAATAAAATCCATATTTGTAATGCAAATTGAAATTCCAAGTGGAAGCATGTGAAAAGTGGCCATGAAGTTGGGCAAAAATCCTGCCTAGAATAGGTCAAAATTTTTCTAAGTTAAGAATGTTTTGCACCCTTGTTCCAAAAATCATAACTTGAGCTACAAGCTTCTTTTGAGGAAACTTTGTGAATCAAAGTTGTAGATTTTGCAATGGACTATAACTTTCATGTTTTGAGTTTTGTTTGAATCCAAATGTATCTTGATGAAAAAATGGGACAAAGTTAGGAAAAAAATAGGATTTTTCATAACTTAGAAAATTTTCTAAGTTATGAAAATTCTTCATTTTAAAACCCTAATTTGTAATTTTTGATTTCTTGATTACCAAGTTTCATAATTTGACATGTTTTGATGAAAAATGAATCTTGACACTTGATTTTGACCAAAAAGTCAAAGTTTAACTTTTCAATATACAGTCAATTTTGGCTCAGTTGACTGGAAAATTCATCTGTCAATCTTGTGCATTTGGGATCTTTTGAACTTGTTGAATGTGTCAAGACCAAGCCATTGAGTCCTTGAGTCCATATGTGAGCTTGGTTTGCCATTGGCTAGGTTAAACAGTCAAAAATTGCCTTTGTGCAGTCAAAACCCTAAAAATGACCATTTTGCCCTTTTGGTGATCTAATCAAATTTCTTGTGGAATTGTGATCCAAACTTGATCAAATGGTCCATATGAGTTCATAATGTTGATGTGGGTCAAAAATCATGAGGTTTGACTGTCAATTGGCCACAATTGACTTTTTCCCCAATACAGCTGATTTCTAGGTCAACTGTCCAATTGACTGGGCAAAGATTGGAATCAAGACTTGAAACTTGGTATGGATAAACTTGTGGGTCCAACATGAGGCATGAAAGTCATCTTAGGAATTTTAGGTCAAAACATCTTTGTGCAAACACAAACTCTAATTTGGGTCAACAGTGCAAGGAGGAGTCTTGAGCAGAGCAAACCCTAACTTGATCTTGAGCTCCAAGGGTCTTGTGGTGAGAAAATATTTATGAAAAATGGGAGGTAAAATTTTGGGGTACAACAGTATCACTACGCCAAAAAAGACTTACGAAAGCGTTTTTTTTGGCCTTTAAAAGCGCTTAAAAGCGCTTTCGTAGGTGGCACTGCTATAGGTTTTAGCAGCGCTTTTTGTTTAATGAAAAGCGCTTTCGTAGGTCTACCTAATACAACACCTTTTCTAAAAAGCGCTCTCCTAAGTAGGCTTTTGGAAGCGCTTTTTTATGAAGAAGCGCTTTCATAGGTCTACCTAAGGCAGCGCTTTTTTCTGGAAAAGCGCTCTCATATGTTTTCTTTTAGCAGCGCTTTTTCTGGAAAAGCGCTGTCTTAGGTAGGCTTTTAGCAATGCTTTTTTCTGGAAAAGCGCTTTCATAGGTGGTCTTTGAGCAGCGCTTTTTCCTGGAGAGCGCTGTCATATGTTTACCTTAGACAGCGCTTTTTGTGAAAAAGCGCTTTCATAGGTTACCTAAGGCAGCCTTTTTCTTGAAAAAGCGCTTTCATAGGGTGTTTTTTTTAGTGGTATAATTTATATAATTCATATACCTGCATTGTTTGCAGCATATTATTTATATAAACCAGTTTCCATAACCTGTAATTCATAAACCGCGGTAATGCATTGTATACCATTGTAATCCAAAATATATATACACCATTTTTGTACCTCAAAATATATAAAAACCATTGCTATCAGCATTGTAACTCAAAATCAGTCTTACAAAATCAACCCTAACAACAACTAAACCAGTCCTAATGTATGAAAGAAACACGGTCAATTATGTATTAAGGTCTTGGTCCTGCGAAGTTTGAACATAATAACACGGTCAATATGGTATTCCATGTACACATGTAACGTATTCATAACACTTTTCACATAATAATGTATTCATACCTTATATGATTCTCTGCTCAATAAAATATTGACATAATTCCTCTTTGATTTCTTCCAACTGAAGTTTCGTGTAATATGCACATTTGTATTCATCGAAGTACTACATAACAAAACATAATATGCATGATTTAATTAAAAGTAAAAAATTATATGAAATATCCGAGAAATAATAAAACAAATCCTAAGTTATAAATCCATACCGTGACTGGAATATCTATTTGATTTAGTTGAAGGATTTCTTTGATAAACCGCATAACAAAGTATCCGCAATCTATACCGTTTTGCTGTTGAGGACACTACATAAAATGTAACCTTGAAAACATCATCCCACGAGCCTGATAATAAGCAAAGAGAATAAATAGTGTCATATCGTCTTTCCAATGATAAGTTTTCGTAGAAAGGTAATGAATATGGACCACTGCTACTTACCATGCTGTAGAATGTAACCTGTTGCTGCTGTTCCAAGCACACTAGCAAGTACTCCAGCGGTATTGGATAGACCGAGCAGTATCCCCTAAAAAAAAGAAATGAATATAGAAATCATATTTATTTCCCTAAGGACAAAAATTTAGCATAGTAAACCATCTTCTTGTTTTTGCATTGTTGTTCTGCATTTCAAATTATAATGAAACCACTTACAAAATATCGAGGGGCTATATCTTGATGGTTTGAATATAATCCAGACTGAGAGAATGCATTTGTTCCCTGTTCAAGCAGAATTTGAAACAGGTGAGGCGAGGAACATGTAAGGTCAATGGAATTAATGGATTAACCAACGCTAACTAATTTTAAATGATGTTATAGCGAGAGAGAAATTTATAGATAGACTGTCTTAAAAGAGGTTTCAAGACACAGTTGTAAAGAAAATTTAATTTTGCTGTTTAAGTTGCAGAATATGAAGCATCTGGTATGAACTAAAAACTAAGTAAAAGTTATAGAAGTGAACTCTGACTTAGGAACAATTGTTGTTAAATAGAAGCTATAACGATGTTATAGCGATAGAGAAGCAGAATTTGAACATATCACTATTGCTCCGCGATACATATTGAAAACAAAATGTTGTCAAATAGCAGCTATAGCACTGTTGTATAGTGAAGTTTGAATAAACCATTTTTTCTACTATTTGCAATTGACAACACATTTTAGGAAAATAATTAGTAGTCACAGTTTCTCTAGAAAGATTTAAAGAGATGCACAACAACAAAATTTATGTTGGGATTATATGAAAATTCTTTATCAGAATAAGAAATGCATCAAATACAGAAGAAGCAAACCTGACTGCAAGTCATACACAAAACAACCATTACAGGAGAATGAATGTGGCTCAATTAAGTCAAGAAAAAAGCAGGACCTAGAAACCCAACTGTTTGCATTATCTGCAAAGAAAGTGTAGAACTATAGTGTGAATCGTGGTACTAAAATATTTTATGTGCCTCTAAATAAGTAAACCATCAAAAGAATAAATTGTGAGAAGATAAATTGACGGGAGATACCTTGCTGACCGTTGTAACAGATACACCTCGGGTCACAAGAGTGTCTGCAATCCAACCACCAAAATTTGCAGAAATTGCCATCGTAAGCCATGGTAAAACACAAAATAGTCTAGATTCTGTAAGATTGAACTTCAACACCTATTATATTTGAAAATACCTCTGGTTAACTTTAAAAAAGTCATTTTCTTTTGAAGTATCCAATAAGATTGCAAATAAAAACATTTTGTGTATCTTGATGTTGGTTAAAACATGAGTCAAAATTTGAACTCTACTAGCTTCAGTCTTGACAGTGCTGAGTGAGAATTGAAGCTTGATGAATATAGGTATTTTTTCTTATGCATAGGTAAAGTTAACTTCATCATAGAAATAAATTCATGCACAAGAATGCAAAACATAAAAAGAAAAAAAATATGAAAATGAATCTAACTTTGCTAGCACCAAGTCGCTACGTAGCGAACATGTAAAGAAAAAAAGACTTACTTGGTTATAATATGTTGGCATCCATGTAAGAAGAATGAAAGTTCCACAATTATGGAAAAAGTGGCACACTATCAGGGCCCAGACTGGTGGTTTAGACAAAATTAATCTCCAAGGTATTTCCTTCACGGGTTCCTTGGACATACCGTTAGTAGCAATTAACTTCTTTTCTTCTGGCAACATTTCAGGATCATCGAGTGGCGAACTATGCGCCTATAGCTCCCAAAATAACATGGAAAATTAGCATGTGAAACAATAAAATTTCTACTTAGATAGAGCGAACCTTTTGGAAACAAAAAACAATATGTTGGTACTTGGTAGTTAGAAAACTTATAATGAAGATATTGACTTCAAAACAAAAAGTATTTCTATCGAGAAAATGTGTGTTGTGCATATATTTCCAAGTTTAGAAAGGATGCATTTATGCATGAGTAATATTACATATGTGAATTCTAACCTTATTAAGCCATATACAAAACCAAACAGTCCCTAGAGAACCAATGGAGTAAAACACTGATGGCCATCCATACTGATGAATTAGGAAAGGTGAAAAGGCGAGTCCAGTGACTGATCCAAGGTACATGCCACTGTATACAAGAGCTAATGATCTACTTCTCTCTGCCACAGGAACCCATTTTGAAAGAATATTATTCATGGCTGGCATAGCAACCCCCTAGTACGATCCAAAACAAGTTAGCTCCACATGGAAAAAAGCTATCATCCTATTGTAGCATCACCAACTATATGAATCAAATCATTACTAAAATCAGAGACAGTATGGAGTTCAAAAATGAATGTTTCACTTTTATACTTTATTACAGTATATGTCCCTAGCCTAATTATGTTATATCTTTTTCCGCAACTGCAATAAATAATCGAATGGAAACGTACACAAATTCCCTCTCCTAAAGGGTAAACTTGTAACTTGTAAGACAATATAAAATGTGAACAAATTTAATATCACTACTACAACAATTTTTAAACTCCTGTGATTTAGTCAATGGAGTTATATTTAGAGATGGAGGTAACAGATGACTTGTTTTGCCAACAAAATGGAACATTTAACTACACGCACCTCACCGACTCCCATGAATGCACGGGCAACTAGTAGGAAAGGCAACCCGAGTTTAGCAGCAACAGGAGTGAGGATTGTAGCGACGGACCACCAAATGACGCCGAATCCCAAAACCTGCTTCCCTCCCACTGTGTCAGCCCAAATTCCACCAGCAATCTGCAACAAGTATCTACCTATGCATCAGAGTCATGGCCTTGAGTTCAAACTTATACCAAAAGAAAAATAGCTACTAATTAAAACCTATTTACCTGAGTGCTTGCTCAAAATCATTAACCAAACAAAAATACACGAAAACCAGACAAACACATACGAGATGAGGAAAAAAATGAAACCTGATACGAATTGCAGTTGGCCAGAGAAGTGGAGCACCGTTGACCGCCGTAGAAGCTCTGGTTTAGGGTTTTTTCATGAAGAAAATCTGACTGAGAATATAAAAGTGATACGAATTGTGTTTTGATATTTATTATAAAACTACCTACGAAAACGCTTTTAAAAGCGCTTTCTAAAGGTCATCTATAACAGCGCTTTTACATCAAAAAGCGCTTTCGTAGCATATCCTATAGCAGCGCTTTGGAAAAGCGCTTTCTAAGGCTGAACTTTAGCAGCGCTTTTGAAAAGCGCTTTCTTAAGGTACCCTCTGAAAGGCCAGCTTTAGCAGCGCTTCCCAAAAAGCGTTTTCTAAGGGTGACCTTTAGAAGCGCTTATGAAAAGCGCTTTCTTAAGGCACCCTTTGAAAGCGCTTTTTTAAGCGAATTTTTTTTAAAACCTACAGCAACGCTTTTTTCCAAAAGCGCTTTCTTTTATGTGCTGCTAAAACTTATTTTTGGCGTAGTGTATAATAAATATAAACAATTTCAACATTTTTCTTCTTCTCTGTCATAAAGTTTTAGGTTACTTCTTCACTAAGAAACTAAGTTAAAAGACTATTAATTAATGACACATATTACATATACATTGGTAAAAATTAAAATTATATAATTAGGCTCGATTGTTTATTTGTTCACAATTTTCACATTGTGTAATGGTATAATAGATGTAAAGAGTTTCAATATTTTACTTCTTCTTCATCACCAAATTTTAGGTTACTTCTTCACTAAGAAACTAAGTTAAAAGACTAATAATTAATGACCAATATTTCATATACATTGGTAATAATTCAAATTATATAGTAAGGATCGATAGTATATTTAATTACCATACTCATGTGGTATTATGGTATAATAGATATAAACAATTTCAACATTTTTCTTCTTCTCTGTCATAAATTTTTAGGTTACTTCTTCACTAAGAAACTAAGTTAAAAGACTATTAATTAATGACACATATTTCATATACATTGGTAAAAATTAAAATTATATAATTAGGCTCAATAATTTATTTGTTCACCATATTCAGATTGTGTAATGGTATAATAGATGTAAATAGTTTCAATATTTTATTTCTTCTTAATCACCAAATTTTAGGTTACTTCTTCACTAAGAAACTAAGTTAAAAGACTATTAATTAATGACACATATTTCATATACATTGGTAATAATTAAAATTATATAATGAGGATCGATAGTATATTTATTCATCATACTCATATGGTATTATGGTATAATAGATATAAACAATTTCAATATTTTTCTTATTCTCTGTCACAAAATCTTATGTTACTTCATCACTATGAAACTAAGTTAAAAGACTGTTAATTAATGACACATATTTCATATACATTGGTAATAATTAAAATTTTATAATTAGGCTCGATAGTTTATTTGTTCACCATATTCAAATTGTGTAATGGTATAATAGATGTAAACAGTTTCAATATTTTACTTCTTCTTCATCACAAAATTTTAGGTTACTTCTTCACTAAGAAACTAAGTTAAAAGACTATTTATTAATGACACATATTTTAAATACATTCGTAATAATTCAAATTATATAGTAAGGATCAATAGTATATTTTTTCACCTTACTCATATGGTATTATGGTATAATAGATATAAACAATTTCAATATTTTTCTTCTTCTCTGTCACAAAGTTTTAGGTTACTTCATCATTAAGAAACTATGTTAAAAGACTATTATTTAATTACATATATTTCATATACATTGGTAAAAATTTAAATTATATAATTAGGCTCAAAAGTTTATTTGTTCACCATATTCACATTGTGTAATGGTATAATAGATGTAAAGAGTTTCAATATTTTACTTCTTCTTCATCACCAAATTTTAGGTTACTTCTTCACTAAGAAACTTAGTTAAAAGACTAATAATTAATGACCAATATTTCATATGCATTGGTAATAATTCAAATTATATAGTGAGGATCGATAGTATATTTATTCACCATACTCATATGGTATTATGGTATAATAGATATAAACAATTTCAATATTTTTCTTCTTCTCTGTCACAAAGTTTTAGGTTACTACAGCACTAAGAAACTAAGTTAAAAGACTATTAATTAATGACATATATTTCACATACATTGGTAATAATTAAAATTATATAATTAGGCTCGATAGTTTATTTGTTCACCATTTTCACATTGTGTAATGGTATAATAGATGTAAACAGTTTCAATATTTTACTTGTTCTTCATAACCAAATTTTAAGTTACTTCTTCACTATGAAACTAAGTTAAAATAATACTATTAATTAATGACACATATTTCATATACATTGGTAGTAATTCAAATTATATAATGAGGATCAATAGTATAATTATTCATCATACTCATATGGTATTATGGTATAATAGATATAAACAATTTCGATATTTTTCTTATTCTCTATCACAAAATTTAAGGTTACTTCATCACTATGAAACTAAGTTAAAAGACTGTTAATTAATGACACATATTTCATATACATTGGTAGTAATTTAAATTTAATAATTAGGCTCGATCGTTTATTTTTTCACCATATTCGCATTGTGTTATGGTATAATAGATGTATACAATTTTAATATTTTATTTCTTCTTCATCACCAAATTTTTGGTTACTTCTTCACTAAGAAACTAAGTTAAAAGACTATTAATTAATGACACATATTTCATATACATTTGTAATAATTCAAATTATTTAATGAGGATCAATATCATATTTATTCATCATACACATATGGTATTATGGTATAATAGATATAAACAATTTCAATATTTTTCTTATTCTCTGTCACAAAATCTTAGGTTACTTCATCACTATGAAACTAAGTTAAAAGACTGTTAATTAATGACACATATTTCATATACATTGGTAATAA